CCCCCCCCCCCCCCCCCCCCCCCCCCCCCCCCCCCCCCCCAAAAAAAAAAAAAAAAGTACCTGCTCAGTGTAGTGAAGGCTCAATCACAGAATGAGAAGACGTCACAATGTATGCAAGATGTGGATGGTGGATGGTGTATAATGCATCACCTGCTTGGTTGTTGTCAACTTGCTCAGGCACATTATAAGTTGCACGGAATGATGAAAGAGAGGAAAGTTCACGAAGCTATATGCAGTTTCTTTAGGTATTATATGTAGCTAAGAATTCTATGTTGGTTTTAATTAATTTCCTTGCACAATTACGTGCCCATGGTTGTTATCCTCCTCAAGGAATTGCATCACATGGTTTGCCATTTTATTGTTGAGTACTTCTTTGTTTCAAGCCAGCGATGTGTTGTATAGAACCTCATTTGTGATCCATAGAATTTAATCCCACTGATTTCAACTTGAAAATGTAAATAAAAAATGAAAAGAAAATCAATATACTCTTATTTGCTTACCTTTTTGTAAACTATGAAATTTGTATATTCATTTATTTCACAAGGTGATCTCACTTTCCTTGTGATTGTTCTATGTAGAGCTTCGTCTGGAAACAGATCTTCCCAGGCTTTGCAGAGTTTGCCTCCCGAAGTGGGATTATCTTCTTTTGAGCTTAGTAAGTTCAGAGAAAGTGAAATACTTTTAAAAGCTTGTTATGGAACAGTTTATTTGGTCTTGTGTATTTATTCATCCGTCCCACCCCCACTTTTTTTCAGCTGGTTGTTTATCTAGTATCACATGGAGGTTCCATTACTATCAATGGGCAATGCAATTGTTTGAGCAGTATAATATCAGCAAAGGAGCTTTTGAGTTTGCTCTGGCTGCGCTTGAGTTAGTGGAAGAAGCTGCAAGTCCAAACGATAATTGTGGTAGACTTCCTTCCAATGAATCTGCCATTTCTATCCAAGGACGGCTTTGGGCAAATATCTTCAAGTTTTCTTTAGATCTACATCAATTCTATGATGCATATTGTGCAATCATTTCAAATCCAGATGAGGAGAGCCAATATATCTGCTTAAGGCGTTTCATAATCGTTCTTTATGAATGTGATGCCATTAAGGTTCGTTGCCTATTTCCTTTATTTAAGCATAATTGATACTATGGCTTGAGTAAATCAAAACAAAGAAGTCATATTTCAGATGTTATCTTGCTCGGCCGGGTGACTTCATCTGCCATGGTGATAGTGTAGAAAAACATTATTTTTGGTAGGTGTAACTAAAATGAAAGCCTATAATTCCTTTTTTTTATTTTATTATCTTGTAGAGGAAACTAATTTCCATGGATGAAATGAAAAATTATGCATGAGCAACAACTTGCATAGGAAAGACAGCATTTAAAATAGCTAAACACATGAATCAAAAGCCCACCAAATAGAATTTGATCCCAACCTGAAGGTCTACAACAACTTGTATTTATTTAGGTCTCTTTGAAAACAAACTAATTATGAATGAGTATGTCTGCCAGTAGCTATGCTTAACTAATTATCCTTCATTGCGTAATATTAATTGACAATAACTGATTCTTGTCGAGCTCTCCCTTCATTTTCATTGTACTCGGTGCAGATCTGTTGTGTTTAAGAATAATTCAACTATGTTTTCCATGTTTCATTTAGGTTTTCGGCACCTTTAATTATGTCTCTCCCAAACCTTTGTCCTCTTCTTGCGTCAAGACAGTTTTTTAGAGAGAGAAAATCCTCTCCCTTCTCTCTAAAAATGTGAGCTTACTGGGGAAAGGAGGAAGAGGGTTAAAATTAAGCGTTATGAACATAAGGGTGGTTGCGGAAGAAAATCAGTGGTAGAAGAGAACAGTGGGGGTATGAAAGGGAGATTGGAACTGGATTTTAGGACTTCAACTCGGGTGATTGACTGTTTAGGTTTGATCTTGAAGACAATTAACCCCTTTGGTTTTTGGAGAAGGAAACTAGATTCAGCGATTATCTTTTTTCAAGTTCTTTCTAATGCATGTGGTTGATTCTGCCTTCTTTCTTGGGATCCTTTTTGAGAAGAGCTTCTTTATTCGTCCCTCAAGGGGAGGGGGTAATGTTTGGGGAAAGTTGAAGGGAGAGTTCTCTGGGTTTCTTCCAACTCTGACTCCAAAAGGAAATTGGAGGTAGGAGAGATGAAGTCATTGAAGTCCCCTCCAGTGCAAGAAAGGGAAAAAGTTTGGTCAGATAAAAAGGTGTGGTGGGGGATTTGCTGGCGGAGTATGAGGTTGTTTTTAACTTTGAGGCAGGTTTAATTGTGGAGAGGAAAACAGAGTGCAAGTGGAAAGATATCAAGGATTAAGTCATGGAAGTACCCTCCAGTGCAAGAAAGGGAAAAAATTTGGTCAGATAAAAAGGTTATGGTAGGGGATTTTCTGGCGGAGTATGAGGTTGTTTTTAACTTTGAGGTCGGTATAGTTGTGGAGAGGAAAACAGAGTGCAATGGTAAGATATCAAGGAAAACAGAGTGCAAGTGTTGGCAGGCTCCATCCTTAAAACTGTTTTGTAGCAACATGGCAGGGGCTATTTGTAAAGGCCAACAGGAGCGCCATTGATAGATAGTCAATCTTGTGAAGGGGAGTTCTAGGTCCATACTATTCACACTTGGTGTTTGAACCTTCTGACAGAAAACAGAAAGTTGGCTCGAACAGGAGACTGAGTGACTGTGTTGGATGTTATGCCTTCTCTGCCCTAAAGAGTTGCTGGCTGTGGTGGCAGATTTGTGTGGAGGGCTAATGGAAAAGGGATCTCAATGGGTGAAGAGCTTTGGACGGATGAGGTCAGCTTGGTGGAGTTTGCAAAATTGGTTAGAAAAGAGAATTGTAGCTGGAGGCAAAAGTCCAAAGTGAGACCGGCTTAAGAGGGGGATTATCACACAACTTTGTTTTACAGGACGACTAATGGTAGAAAAAGCAAGAATTCCATTGGGTCTCTTGAGAATGAAAGAGGTGAGAAGGTCAAAGGGGAAAGAGAAGTGGAAGAGGAGATTCTATCATTTTTCACCAAACTCTATGACCCAATCATGTCTCCCAAGCCATTTGTTGAAGATATTGATTGGTGTCCTGTTTCTGATCTTGAGGATGTGGAGTTGGTGGCCCCTTTTTCTTTGAATGAAATTAGAAATGTTGTCTTTGGGTGTGACAGGATTAAGTCTCCTGGTCTAACAGTTTTCCATGGTCTTCTTCGAGGAAAATTGGGATATTGCCAATGATGACCTTGTTAGGTTTTTGAAGGAGTTCTTCAAGGGGGATAGTGATACTTGGAACGAAACTTTTGTTTGTCTTATCCTTAAAAAAAAAAACTAAGGCAACGAACCTAAATGATTTTAGATCCATCATAAGCGTTTACAAGATTCTAGAATAAGTTCTAAATAATAGATTGAGAAAAGTTCTTCCCTCAACTATCATTGAGGCTCAAGGAAGAGCTCATCTTTAAAATTGATTTTGAAAAGGCTTATGATCACGTGGATTGGAATTGCCTGGACAAAATTCTTGACAAAATTCTTATGATCACGTGCTCTCTTTCGTGGGCTTTGTTTTTTTATATACCCTTATATTCTTTCTTCTTATTTTTTTTTCTCAATGAAAGTTGGTCTTTTACGTTAAAAAGAAAAAAAAATATGTTCTCTTCTTTAGAAACACACATGGTTTTGTTTCTCCTTATTCTTGCCCATGTAGAACTTTTGGTGACAGTGTGAATGGATTATCTCTTCCTGTTAGGTGTGCAGTTTTACATCTGATAAATGTTTGAATAGGTGTTTATGTTAGTGGTTTAAGATTTTCTCCCTCGTCTGAATGGTTTGGGTTTGGAAGAAATGTTGTGTGGAAGATCTGCTGACTGCTTCAATACTCCCCCCTCACATTGAAGCATATATGTTCATCAGCTCAACTTGTTACGTAGTTAATCTATTTGAACTTTATTTTAAGCTTTCATAAAATATCCCCCATTGCTCTTCAGTCTCACATATTTGGCAGATACCAGACCTTATATTTTCTCATGAACGTGACAATCAATTTTAATATGTTTAGTTTGTTCATAAAATATTTGATTGGATGTAATATGAAGGGCAAGCTCGTTTTTACACCTCAGGTTAGTTGGAACTACAAAACTGAAGCGTTAGTTAAGAGGCTATGGCACTCACATTATTTCACATACAGATTGTGCTATAGAGTTGTATTCTAATTTGGCACTTGATGGTGGGATCACAATTTGATTCTTGCTCTTCCATGAAACTAAATTAACTCCAACAAAGATAAGGTATCTTGATGTGGGTCTTATGTTTACCTTGGATCTTGTCCGATCAGCATCTAAGAAACACTTAATCTTCATATGATTGTGATTCAAGTACAAATTATCATATGGTATGTCCATGTGCAGCCTTCAAATAACATAAATTGTTCTATAGTAACCCAATGGTCCACCATGGGCATCGACTATAAAGAACACGATCTCTATTTCCTCAAAATGACAATGTTTTCTGCTGTTTTAGTGTTTTCTTTTTGGTATTTATTAGTTTCTATAATTCTCTTTCAATCTTTTATACTTTCTTTAATATTTACTAACTAGTAGTTCAATAGTTATAGTTATCTTCTATTATGTTCCTGAAGTAACAAAAAATTTGCCTTCATTCTTCTCTGCGTAAATGAATCTCTTTCTGTTAATTGTACAGATTCTTTGTTGTGGTGAATTACCATTCATTGGATTAGCTGAGAAGGTAGAGCAGGAGCTTGTATGGAAGGTATTTAGCTGTAAAGCTTGAAGTTTACATGTTCGTCGCCAATGTTATTTATCTTATTAGCTTGAGTAAGTTGCTTTATTTCTTGTCAACTCATGTCTAGGGTTTCTTTATCACAATGCAGGCTGAACGTTCTGATCTCTTATCAAAGCCAAGCTTGTATAAATTACTGTATGCTTTTGAAATATGCCGACATAATTGGCAAAAAGCAGCAAGTTATATGTACCTTTATTCAGCTCGTTTGAGAATGGAAGGAACTCTAGGAGATAACCAGTTAAGTTCCTCGTTGCTGCTTGAACGATTGAATGGCCTTTCTGCTGCTATCAATGCGTTGCATCTTGTTCATCCTGATTTTGCGTGGATTGAACCCCCGGTTGAAAGAGATGCCATCCAGAGTAAGCACTACCCAAGTAAGAAAGCTAAAAGAACTGTTGATGAACAGTGTAAGTAATGCTTTACTTGATGAATTCTTTTATTTCCCTAGTGCATTTTTCCATTTCCAGATTTTCTAATTTTCTCTTTCTTTTTTCTGGATCTGAATGGTATTTATTTTTCATTGTGTCAATTGAAAATATTTATCTAGTTATCCATTCATTCTGTTTTTCCGTTTTGTTTTAAAATATGGCTTCTTTTTTTGGAATAGTTGCCAGAGATGACACCAAGCCTCAGAAGCGGAATTCTTATATTAATATGAAGCAACTGGAAAATGAATTTGTGCTAACCTCATCAGAGTATCTCCTTTCATTAGCAAATATCAAATGGCCATTCACTGGTAAGGATATGTATTATTCTGTTTTATGCTTTCCTTGAAGCAGGATGAGAAATTATTATAAAAACTTCGTTTAGAAACTTTAGCTTTTAAATCTATCTAATATACTAAAGCACCTATTTGTAGATTGCATTTACTTAAATGTTTTGCAGACTGCCGTTTGTCAGGGATTCATGAGGCCCCTTCAGAGTTGGTTGATCTTCTGGTCCAGAACAATTTTTATGATATGGCATTTATTGTTGTTATAAAATTGTGGAGAGATTCAGCATTAAAGAGGTATTGATCTTTTATGCTCTAATTGCATTACAACATAAATCTATTGATTCTGCTGAGAATTGAAAATCTTGAACTTTGTTGACTCAGGGAGTTGGAAAGAGTTTTCTCTGCCATGGCATTGAAATGCTGTCCTAGTAGATTAAGTTCATCTGGGGTTCGGTAAGTCAAACATCATTTTATGAGTCAAATCGTTTCAGTTAACGTTTCCTATTGCTTGTTAGTTCCACAAGTAAGAAACTTAATTGTTAACTTGTATCCAATTCATTTTGGGCTTTTGTGTGACTTCAGGAATGATCCCAGAATAAGTAGTCTTCTATTGGTATCCCCAAATGGGCAAAATGACGTTCATGGTTCACTTGATGTGCTTCGTAGTAGTCAGCATCTCAATGGAAATGGCCATTGGGAGACTCTGGAACTTTATCTTGTACGTACCTTCATATTATGTCATGAATGCAGCTTAAGATATTCCCTGATACTTCTGTCATCTGTTTTTTTTTTTTTTTTTTTTAAATCTTAATTGGTCTTCCGGGTAATATTTGGCCTGGTATATACACTGTTTCGTGTTAAAAAAAAAAAAAAATATAAGGTCCTTGGTGTATGATTCAATAGCAACTTTGAATTTTACGAGACAGGAAAAATACAGGAAAATGATGTTTAGATAGTAAATTAGGAGGAAATTTTTTACCAGCAAGTTGTTATTAAATTCTATTTCGCAAGAGCGAAGTAGAATAGAATCTCAGATGGAATCAACGTTAAATTCTATCTTAATAATTCATATCTTCAATTTGCAGGAAAAATATAAAGGTTTCAACGCTAGATTGCCTATTATTGTTGCTGAAACACTTCTTCGAACGGAATCTCAGATGGAATTGCCTCTTTGGCTGGTTCTGATGTTTAAGGTTTTTACCTATTTTTGTCAGTGATTTTATATTTAATTCATTTTGACTGGATGAAATTTTAGCGTTTTCTTTTATCATCTTGGTATTGAAAGCACTAGGAGAGATAATTGGTACTCGTTAGAGAAAGATTACCGTACAAAAAGAGACTAATACTAAAAAATAACTCCGAGAGTGAAACAAAAAGAGAAGTTGATTACAAAGCAAAAGAAGACAAAAACTGAACACAAAGGAAATATGAAAACATTCCAATTCAAATTAATATCATGTAGAGAGAGACTATCAAAACGATGGGATAGAGAAACTTGTAAAAAATTGGAAGAATTTTATGTATTTGATTTTCTTTTCATGCTCTATATTGGCATAGATGTAAATACCCTTTTACTAATTATAGTCTTCATAAGTGTATAAAAGTAAGAACATGCACCCAAAAAAAATCATGTTCTTAGCCATTGTTGAAGAGAAAACCCACCACAAGTTGAAAACTGAGAACAATTTGTACCTACAAGCTTGAGAAAAAAAAGCAGTCAAAGAAAATATGATTTGAGAGATTCCCTAAGTTCTAACAAAGACAACAAATGGAAAGTTGCAAACATGGAGATTTTCGTACTATTAGATAGATGTGTATTACGCGATATTTAGTTTTTATATTTGTAATATTTATTTTTCTTATTGGTTGATGGTCTTTCTTCTCTATAAAAAAAAATTGTTGTATTTGATTTATCAGATAGAAAATATACAATAATTTTATTTCTTTCCAAAGTTCAAGTGAATTTATGAGAAATTCATGTCGTTATTACTCCCTATTTTGTTTGCATATCTGTACATGACGACCTCTCTGCAGCCTCATTTTGAAATGCTTTCCTTGCATGGATGAAACTTGGAACTACATAGCAAAACTCCTCTTATTATGGGGTTCTGATATGTGGGAACAAATCAGCAGAGTTCTCTCTGTGAAGTGAAAGAATGCTCATCTATATCAATTTGTATATTGTGATGGACAATTCTGTAGCTAGTAGATTATGATTGCGCTTCTTCTAGTCTCATTGTTTAACCTACCATATGCAATTTTGCTCTGGATATAATTTTTCAGTAGTTTACCTGGATATGATATTTTAATTTCTATACTGATGTACTACAATTCATCGAACAAATATATGACAGGATGGTCGAAGGGCAAAGACATGGGGGATGACTTGTGAAGAAGCAAATCCAGCATCATTGTTCCGTTTATATGTCGATTATGGGCGATATACAGAGGCTACACATCTGTTGCTTGAATGCATGGAATCATTTGCATCAATGGTAAATTATGTATTGGCTTTTATATCTTGAAATTCTATTGACCACTTAGTTGACAAATTGAATCTCTTTTATCTATCCGCATGATTGAAAGTCCCATTGAGCTAACGAAATCTCTTTCACTTATTATTTGAGCTCCATGTTGAGAAATATTCTTTGATAAAACTCATCAAAGAACAGTTGTTTAACGTTGTACCTTGCGTGAAACACTTATGTTGATTTGTACATTTATCTCTTAATTATTTTTTAGATATATTTTCCTTTTATAATTAATTTCCTTAGTTGGAATTTCTCTTGTATTATATGTACCCATTATTGGGTCATTTTCAGGAATAAGAAAAATCTCTCTTCAATTTTGAACATTTTCTACTGAATTTTAGATTTTCTGGGCCACATACTGAAACTTATTCCAACTTTCTGCAGCCACCCACAGACATAATTAACAGAAAAAGACCATCCTCTGTTTGTTTCCCCTACAATGCCATTCAGAACTTATGGTGCAAAATAGATGAATTGATCCGCTCAGGTCACATGGTAGATGCTTGTGAGAAGCTGAGAAACCTATTGCATGGTGCTTTGATGAATCATCTGAAGCTGGTATGTTATGTTTTAATGATTGTCTCGTTGCTAGTACAACCCTCTTGTCAATATGCCTGACATTTTTATAAAAAATTCCTTTCAGCTTAAAGTCGATGCAGATGATGTTATATATACCATCACTTAATATACTCTGGACTACTTCGTGCCGTTTCTATGATGCCAGACAGGAACCTGTCACTTTTACTCGTTCAAAGGAGCAAGTTTGTAAGCTTAGGACCTGTTTTATGCTTCTTTGCTGAACTATTTGAAGATCTGGTATTTTACACGTCAACTTTCTTCTCATCCGAAAGAATCTCACTTTTTTATATAATTTTACTTTATTTATTTATTGTCCCTTTTTGTTTTCTCAACCTTCTCTGCTGTGGTGTCTTGTCAGTCAATTATCTATGTCGATGACACACCATCTTCTGTTCAAGAATGCTCCTAAGATTGGTGAATCAGACAACTAAGCATCCAGAGATGCCATGGATACACCCCAGATTGGGAGCTGCCGTTGGGTCACGGTCACTTTTGTAGCCTTGAATATTTGATGTTTTCATTTGTTTACAACATGTTAATGATGTAATCATAGACTAGAAATTTCATCAAGCTCCCGCCAGCGGTACGAAAAAGCGTGTAAATGGGCTATATGCTCGAGTTCGTGTAGCAAACTTGGCAGAATGGCACCTTAAATGACGTTTTAGATCATGATTTTGTCAAGTGCTTTGTGCAAGAAATGCGAGTATTCTAACATTTTGGATGTTTGGTATCATGCTCATTACAGCCGGCTCAACCCAATGGCCATAGGAATACTTTAGTCGTTGAGATTAACCAATATCATCATTTTGACATAAAGAAGTTTTGATCAGATATCATCATGTAAACTAACTAAACTCACTGTGATCTTTGTTTCCAAACTTTATATTAAACTTGATATGTGTGGCTAGCAACACATACATGAGCAGCTTATACTAAACAAGTTTCTAGTGATCAAAATAGAGCATCTTAAAAAAAGATAGAACCTTAAGCATAAAAACTTCAAACATGATAGTATATGATATATTAAAACTTTACTCAAGTCGTAATGCTTGTGTTGTTCTTGATATCAGAAATTTGATTTTCATTTTGAGGCTTTGGAGTGGTAACCTCAACGTCTTTCAATGGAAGTATGTTGTTCATCTCTCTGCCTTTGCCCCACAACACCATGTATAAACCACACACAATCAGCACTGCTCCAATCACACTATAAAGCTCAACCAAATTTTCGTTAATAATTGTTGTATTTAGAAGACTAAATGATTAAATTGCAAAATTTTGAAGGTACCTGCCAAGGTGCAAGCTTTCTTGGAGGCATAGGGATCCCGCAATAGCTACCAGGAGAAGCATAAGAGGGCTGAAACTAGACACATACAATGGCCCTCTCATACGTACGCACCACGCCATCAGCGTCACCATGGCTCCCGACGCCACGATCCCCTGCATCGAAATCCATTATATGTATGTCGTATTATTAAGTGAACCAAAGGATCATATCTAAAAGTTTAAAAGGCTAAAAATTAATAAATTACAGCAAATGCGACGGTGAGAAGTCTGATATTCCAACCCAATTTCCACTGCTTCCAATCTCTCTCCACACAAATTGATATTGCCAACCCCTGAATTGCTCCCATCACACACATCAACGCCGTGCTTGAGTATTGGCATGGATATATTTTCGTCATTTTTGTCTGCCACCAAAAATCAAATCTTACATATAAGATCTATTCAATAGTAGTCGACTAAAAAATCTAAGTATATCTTTCTTCATTTAGGTCAATATTTTATGTCTTATCTGCTTCGTCGCTATACTCAAATTCAATTATACTCACATTCAATTTTTGGTTCGTATTATATACAAACACTAGAATAAAGAAGCATCAGCAATGGTAACCTGAAGGATGAGCCAGAAAGAGTAAGAGAGGCAGCTGGCGAGAGCCAGCAGACTTCCAAGCACAAAATTGTGGGAGTGGTGAGGATTTTGAGGAAGATGTGCCAAGTGTCCTCCACGGAGAAGGTCCACGTGGGTTGACCAAATGCTGATCTGGACGCCTTTGTAGAAAGTAAGAAACATGGCCCCACCAATCCCCAGTAACGTTCCTGCCACCTTGGCCACCCCTTCCTTGCTCCTCATCTCCAACTTTTCCATCCTACACATGTCCGTACACCTTAACCTTAATTAATTAACTAATTAATTGTTAAAATATTTTGAATTTTCATCTTATCTCAAAATAAAATTACTAAATTGTAATAAAAAATACCATTTTAATAGTATTGCAACAAATTTATGTTTAGATCAAATTCATTAACGAAATGATTAATTAATATAAAAATTCGTAGAATTTTAAGAAATTTATCAGCTTATCGAGTATAATCAAACATAATATTGTTTTATATTTTGACATCTTATTCTCGAGTGTTCCATTACTTTTAGACATCCATCTCGACTGTGGATCAAATACCTTGTGTATCTAAAGCTACTTTTTTTTCTCCTCTTTTTCCAATATTCAAAATTGAATTGAGTTGCTACGTTAAAAGGTTCGTGAATTTTACATCACTGGTAATCAAATTGAAGTTTTTCTTGATTTTCCAAAAAAGGGTTTTGATGGGTTGCCCCAAAGTAGAAGGACTTCCAAGTAAACATATGGTCATCCTTTTTATTATTTTTTTTTTTTAATAAAGTGATTGTGATACATCATCATACATACATGCTCATAAATCTTTTTTTTTTCTTTTTTATGTATAAATTTTAATTCTAAATTATCATACCTAATTTTGTAAATTAAAAAAAAAAAAAGTGTACATTTATGAAAATTTGAAATAAAATACCATAAGAAATTTTGATAGTAGTTGTTTTAGTGCTTAGAACCACCAAATATATAACTCAAATGACCCAATAATCTACACAACACAAACAATGAGGCGATCCAACTCAACTTCAAGTTGGATTGGATGGAATAATGAAGCCTATTTAATTGATTCGAATAACTAATTGAATTCTAACACTTAACTCGTGTATACTCTTAATTCAAACTAAACAACAAAATTTTAAGTTTATTTGTTTATGTTGGGCATAAGAGATAGTGGATATTGTTACCCGAAGGAGAGGGCGAGAAGGAAGGTAATAGCTGGAGAGAGATTCTGCATAGCCGAAACAAATGTTGCTGATGTCATCGCTAAACTCTTTACGTATAAGTTTTGACTCAACGTTCCTCTGTCCAAATAAATTGCACTTCTTATTCATTTCTATTCCCTAACTCATTTTAATAAAAAATATTTGCATGAAAAATTGAGTATTTTTATTACTTTAGCTTACTTACCCAAATAATCCACAAAGAAATCCATAGAAGAGTATCGAGCATCTCATCTTTGGCCTTTTATTCCTGTCATAAATTTAAATTAGAACCGATACATAATGATACAAAAATCTCTGCTTATTTTAAAGGGAAAACTCAAAGAAAACAAAAGGATAAAACCTTTCGAAAAAGAAGGCAAGGGGAAGCATAAAAAGGGAAGCGAACACGAAACGAAAAGCGATCATGATCATCAAATTCATTCCATCGTTCACAGCCAATTTGTAGAGAACGTTGACGCCTGCGAACACCGACTGAACCAGAAGCATCAGAAGGGCGGGTTTGGCAGTGGCATGGAAGGCGCCGTTGGTGCATATTGTGGTGCCTGATGATCCAACCCCTGACTCCATTATTATGGTGTTATGTGCAAAGTCCTGTTGTGTGGGAGAGTATTTATTGACCAAGAATGGAACCACAAACATTGAACACTTACCAAGAAAAAATGTGTGATATCACTGCTTTTCCAATGGCTGACATGTAAAGTGTTCAAGCTGTGCCCATTTTCCCTACCTTTCCTCCATGTTCAAGGCCTAAATAGATATCACTTTCATACCACTAATAACTTAGTCCATTGTACTTAGGTTTGTAACGAGATTTCTCGAACAAGTTGGTCAGTAGGGATTCGATATGTTTAAGGTAACTAACCACTAATGATCATAAATGATTGTTGAAAGAAGTTTTAGTGGGAACATTATATGTTGCATGTTTTGGATAACTAATCATTAAAGTCCCTCAATTTCATTTGATTAGTCATATGATGATTTGCATATTTGACTCCGATAAGGGCGTCTTTGTGAATGGCTTCTTCGAGGGTTATGTCCCATGCAAGTCAACTTTTAATATAAGTTGAGCTTTTCTCGTGTTCAGATGATAGCCCCTAACCAGCTTTTGCCATGATAGAAAGTTATCCACATACTCCTACCCGATACAAAAACCAACTGATGAGGTACACGAACCACATTTTTTACCTATTAGCAATAACCTTCCCAATGCATTATACAAGATATTATCAGTAGATGGTATCAGAAAAAAAATAGATAAAAGATTTAAGGAAAAAAATAAAAAATGGGATTTAGTTTTAAAAAATAAAAAATAAAATCAGCCTAATTAAAACGGGATCAGTGGGGGAGGAAGGAAGGTATTTAGTTTTACGAGATTAACCTCGGTTCAAGGTTATATAAACGAAAACGAGGAGGGAGAAATAGGGAAATTTACACATTGAACGAAGTTGGGCCTGGGGCAGCCCTAGTAGCGTATAGTGTGTCGACAACTCTTCCGCGACCTGCGTCATCTTCTTCGATACACCGACCAACTCTGCTCCCTCACTCATTTCTCTCTTCTGCTCAAATCTCTGCATTTTCATTTTCTTCCCATGGCCACAACCTCTCCACCCAGGTATTCTCTTCCACTTTCTCCTCTTTTTCTTCTTCTCTCTACCCTCAAATTCTGAAATTAATCAACATTTCCCTCAATCCCTTTGCTTTTTCACTCTTATCGTTGTCTACGAGACTGCCATTTTCGTAGTTCCCCCTCTACCTCTCCTGTTTCTGCTGCAATTACGGCGCTTTTAGCTTTCTCATTTTCATTTCCCTCTAGATCTCTTAGATGGCCATGATTTTTCATACTTTATCTTCCTTCTCTAATTTGGTTCATGCTTATTCGGATACTTTTCATGTCTTTTTGGTGTAAACCAGCGATATGTCATTGCTTCAGGATTTTGTATTTTTTTTTCTTACTATGTATTACATCCTATTTGTCTAATCCTGTCGGCTTGGGCTCCAACTTGTGCTTCAACAACGCTGAATTGACCTTCAGTTCAATTATCGTTCTTTACTGTTTTTTTTTTTTTTTTTTTTTTTTTTTTTTTTTTTTTTTTTTTTTTTTTTTTTTTTTTTTTTTTTTTTTTTTTT